AGCCCGCCCGCCCGCCCCTGGGGGATCGAGCATGCGGGTGAAGGAACGAAAGGGATTCACCGCTTGCGGCCAGACCCTCCTGCAGGCCCACTGGCACGCCTCCCTGGTAGCTGCGATGGTTTACAGTGGTTCCAGGGCAGGCCCCAGCCACGCAACGATGCCAGCCATCTCAAGGTGGCGCTGGGGTAGGGCAAGGGAGGCTGGCTGCAGGTCCAACAACAGAAAAGTCACATGGGAATCTGGAACCAGCTGGGCCTGGGCTGCCTTCCTGCTGCGGTTTCACTGGAGAAGCTTCCGAGACGTCAATGGGTGGCTTCTGTGTGCTGGGCACCTGCCAGCCTGGTCTGAGAAAAGCTGATGGAACGGCCAGGATTGCAGCCAGCCCTGCCCAGTCTGGGTGCCCACAGCCATGCTGGGGGGCAACCCAGATGCACGGTCAGGCAGCAGGTTGGCACCGAGCTCTGGAAAAGCGATGGGGAAAGACACTGGACTCCCCAGAGGAGGGATGTGACTTCCACTACCATGGCCCTGAATGTTGGTGGGCTCCCCTTTGTCAGATGTGCCGAAGGAGGGGGTTGGACTGGGCCCCCCCAGGCTCCTTCCAACCACAGGATTCTGCAAGAACATTTCGGAGGTGCACAGTGCAGTTGGAGTGAGGGTGTTGCTCTGCACCCAATGGAGGAGGACTATGGGGCAAATTAGAGTGGGCCGGAGGAACAGGCCGCCGAGTGCAAGAGGGGCATTCCCGAGGAGCCGGCTGGATTGGGAGCAGGGCAGCTACTGCAGGCCTTCCTGCTGGGTTGGCTTCCACTAAGAGTTTTCCATTAAAGAACTAGCCATTTTCAAAGCAGAACCCCAAAAGGAAACTTCGAACGCAACACACAGCTGATAAAGTGATGGGCTGTTCCATACAGATATAGATATATTTGAGTATGTATATATAGATATTTATATTGTGAGAGAGAGGAGGGGGAGGGTGGCATCTTCTCTTATGTAAAAATTCAAAATACATTTTTTCTAGTAACAATCAAAATGTAAATGTACAAATCCTTTACTGCTAAGCCAAGGGAAATAAAATAAACCGCACTGAGGAAGGGCAGGGGGGACGTCTCATGTGGGTGCCTGGGAGGCAGGACCGCAGACGTCACCCAGAGACCCAACCCTTCGGCCTGGTGCGGACGGAGGGCACTGGGGACGCCGGCTCCCAAGGAGCCAAGGAGTCTGCCTGTGGGGTGGATTCACCTTCAACACATCAAGAGCGACTGCCACACAGCCAGCGGAGATGTGTCTTCTGGCCACCACGGCCTGGGCCCCGGGCATGTCCCTCCAAGCCCCGTGCCTGCCCAGAGCTGCTGTCTTGGAAGCAGGGTCGCACAACGCCACCTTGGGAAGCACACACACACAGACCCTCGCGTCCTGAGGCGGCTCACCGCCACGGGAGGGCAAACAGAGGCTGCCGGCAGGCCTGTCCAACGTAGCTCGGGCTTAGGAGACCGCGGGGTCCTTCGGCTTCAGGTGCTCCGTCCCAGAGAGCAGGGAGAGGGTGGGGTCCTCCAAGCATTCCTCTCCCTCCGTAAAGCCGGGCCCCTCCCCCAGCTCGAAGAAGATGGGCGTGTCCGCGCTGCCCACATCCAGAGGGTTGGAGTCCACCAGGAACAGGGGCTGGGCTGTGTAATGCACCAACTGTTTGCCTAGCAAGGCGGGGAGGGGACAGGTCAGGGGGGGGAGAGGCAGGAAGATGCCCTCCAATGGCCCTGGCAGCCCTCAATGAGGAGCCCAGGTATTTCCAAAGGCAGACAGGGCCCAGGGCTTACAGGCATTTCGGCCTGCCCCAGGGCCTCTCGGGGTCTGCCTGGACAGTGCCCACCTGCGTCTGCTGTGGAGTCTTCCCCCTCGGTTGGCTTCTGCTGCTCTTGGGAGGAGAGGAGCTCTTGGATCTGCAAAAAGGCCATGGCAGGGGTGAGATGCCAGGGGGTGGAGCGGAGGCTGTGGGTGGATGGGGCATCCCCTGACCCCCAGGTTCACCCAGTCAAGAGGCCTGCTGGCTGGGGTCTCAAAACGTCCCATCCTGCCTGAGCCTGATCCAGGGGAAGGCCAAGGACAGCCCCCACCGCACCCCTTCCTTGCATTGTGCTTCTGCATCAGGGATTCTCACCAGATCATGCCTCCCTAGGACACTCCTGCCCAGAGGAGGGTCCCATTTGGCCCTGTGTCACTTCCTGGCTGGGGGGGGCAACAGACTTGCCCCCAGGGAGCCCCACTTAAAAGGGCAGCCTCTGCCTACAGGCCTGTGAACCGTGAACGTGGCTCATCCACCCAGCCTTCTCCACTGTGTGACGGAGGGCGAACTGGGGCAAACTCAGCCTCTGGCCCTCAAAGGCTCGAGGGTGCCGGGGGGCACCGCCCTGGCATCCTTCCCAGCTCCTGAGAGAGGCTGGTTGAGAAATGGGCTGATCAGGGCCTGCTGAGGATGGGACTGGCCTTCCTGCGGAAGATTTTCAAACTCAACTCACGCTAGCCAAGCTGCTGTCGAGATCCGGCAAATTCATATCCGTCACTGCCATGGAAGGACTAAAGAGCTGTTGGGAGAGGGAACAGAAGGGGAGCTGAGGGTCAGGGGGGAGGGTGACTGGCCCCAAAGATGACCACCTGCACCAGGCCCCCAAGAGGAGGGCTTACGTCCAGCAAGGCGCTGGTGTCCACGCTGAAGCCGTGGGTGGTCAGCATGGTCTGAAGATTGTCCAGGCTGGAATCGATGGTGTCCAAGTGATCGCTCAGCTCATTTCTGGGGAAACAGAAAGAGTCTCGTTTGGCGGCGTGGGGAGGACAGAGGCACATTTCAAGCCAAGCGCGTGGCCCTTCTGGTCACTGCCTGCCAACGTCTCCAGCCTGTCACTCCTGGTCCTGTATCTTTTGGGGGGGTGGAGGGTGGGGATTGAGAAGCACAGTGCCCGGCTCTCTCTCAGAAGCTGCCCCTCCAGCCAGCCCTGGGGCTGCTGGCCGTTCCTCTTTCCAAAAGTATCCCCTCCACCTGCCACCTGCGATCAGTCTGCTCCTGTGCTAGTGTGTGTGTGTGCGATGCACGTGCATGTATCATGAATGCTGCCTCTGGGTCCCTGGAACACACGCGGGAGGCACTCCGCAGAAGTGCTCTGCAGCGGCAGCCCCGCCCAAGAACCAGCAGAGCCCACGGAAGAGCAGGGGGGCCTGGGGGCGCCAGTGGCTGGGGAGAAGGGCACCTCGACCCCTCTGCTGGGACGCTGTTCAGCAGACTAAGCCTGGGGCGGGAGGAGCCGGACCCGCAGCAGCTGGACGATCCGCACAAGGCCCTCTCTCGGCCAGCAGGGTTCAGCGGGATCACCGACCGGGGCGGCCTGCCTGCCTGCAGATGCAGGCGCTCCCGTCTGTCGATCTCTCTCTCTCCTTGGCTCAGCCGCCTCTGAGCGTTCCCACCTGGAGGTGCCATCTAGGACCAAGACAGCTTGGGGCTTCCTCAGGCTCTAGGGTGCCCACGCCAGCTAGCCTGTTTGGAGCTGGAGGAAGAGGTTCCCAGCCCCAGCCACGGGAACGGCTGCCCTGTGGGTCAGCCCGACCCTGCTCTGACCGGCAGCCGGGCCTGTGCCGGCTCTTGCCTGCAGGTATCCCGAGTGGGGGTGAAGGGCGGGGCTGGGCAGATGCCCTTCCTGCAAGGTCAGGGGCTCATCTGTGCTTAGCGGGGCGACCAAGACGAAGCCTCTGGCGCTGGGGCGGCTTCTAGCACTCTGCCTGAGGGTGGCCATCCTGCTTAGCACTCCCGCAGCCGCCTTGGCCAGGCTCCGGTTTTTCGGCATGGTTCTGCTTCAGTTTTCCTCCCCCTCTCAGCTCCCTGCCCCGTCTCCCCATTTCTCCTGAGTGGGCAGCCATGCCTGAGAAAATGCTAACCCTTGCTGTGGTCTGCAGTGCAGTGAGGAAGAGGAAGAGGAAGGGCTGGGGAAAAGGCAGGTGACCTCAGACATCTGCGGAGCACGAGCCACACTGAAAGATACAAAAAGAACAGTCGATGGAGAAGACACAGAGCTTGCCATCTTGAGGGAGGAAAGAGGGCTGCCTCCAACCGGCCGGAAAGCTACTGCTGCTGCTGCTGCTGGAGTGGCAGGGAGAAGGGGCGCCAGAGGGCTTAGGACCAACAGCAAGGCACAGGAGGGGCATGCGGAGCAGAGAGAATATGCCAGTTGGGAGAACGAGGTGCCGCAAACACCACACAGGAAGCAGCCCTGGAGCTTCTGGGAGAGCTGCCCCGGCCCCACGAGGGCTGGGCGCCTTGCAATTCGTCACAGGAGGGGCCTCCTTGCCAGCTCTGAGTGCCCACTTCGTCAGGAAGAAGAGTGACACAACTCGCAGGACCCGAACGGCCCTCGAGGGCTCCTGTTTCAGCCCACTGCCCCGTGCAGGACCCGGGCGAAGGTCTTCCCGAGGTGCCGGCACCAGCCGCCTTGCGCCACGGGAGGCAGCTCCCAAGCGAGCTTCCTGGAGGGCAGCAGGGCTGACAAGCACCCCCTGGGCTTTGCTTCCTCCGGACAAAGGATGCCACCCAGACTGAGCATGCTGCGCGTGTTTGTGGGTGGGTGTTCTGGGGCGCCCCCCTCTGCTTCTTGGACCTTAGCCTCTCGGGGGCTTCGAACATCAGGGCCAGGAGAGGGCTCGGGTCAGACGCGGCAAGCAGAGGAAGTGGCAACCTCTGTGCCCGAAACCCAGACGTCGCTTGCTAGAGGGAGCCCTGCCATCTCGTTCAGGCCACCGGGCCAGGCGACGCCGCGATTGCGCAACGAGTCTGATCTGGCTGGCTCCAGAGCCCATTCCAGCCTGGAAAACAGCCTCCTCCTCCTGGGCCAGAACCCAGGCTCTGGGGCACCTCCCCCCAGCGCAAAAGGCCGGGGACTCCTTTGGGGCAGAGGAGAATCCTGGTCCTTCCTGGCGTCCTTGCGTCAGCAGACCAGACTAAGAAACCAGTGCCGCACAGGACGCAATTACTTTTATTCTAACAGAACGTGCTTCCCCCTCCCCCCCTCCCCCCCTCCCCCCCTCCCC